TGTGTGTGTGTGTGTGTGTGTGTGTGTGTGTGTGTGTGTGTGTGTGTTAGATGTGAGATTTAGCTGGGACAGGGAGGAAATGAAACTGGGAGATGGCTGACTGATTGTTCAGGGACCAGAGAAACAGACTCCCTTCCCAGTAAGGGGTTATACTTTCAGTTACCTCAAAAGTTGGTCCCAAGGGCCACCTCTCAGAGGTGGGGGACAACAATAAAGATTTGAGAGTCTAAGCTCTACTCCAGAGAGCCCCTCCCATGGAGTTGTTATCTGTGTTCTGGGCTGGGATGCAGGAGGGAACTGGGAAACAGGAAAATGTGCTCATGTTGTTTATTGCAGAAAACCAAGGATGTTTATTTGCTGTATGAGGGCCGAGGCCCTGGTGGCTCTTCCCTGCTCATTGAGGCATTATCCAGCAGTGGCTCCAAGTGCCATTCAGACATCAGACATATCCTGAACAAGAACGGGTAGGTATATGTGTAGGGAAAGTGGAAGGCTATGAAGCCTTAAATTTCCAATTCTTTGCAAGGAAAATACTGTTGTTCTTGGCGGTGTTTCAAGTTTTAAGCACACTTCATCCTTAGAATCCAAGTGGGATCATTTCTTCTCCCTTGTTTCGTTCTGTACTAGGCAGGATCCAGAAGACTTGTTCGTTAGATGTAGAAGGGGCTCTTTGACCTATTTTCCTCATGTGTAGCCATATAATGTCCAGATCTTAAAATGTACTACCGAGACTGGAATCTTAAAAGATGAGCAAAGTTTTTGCATCCACTAAACTCCAATCAGGACAGAAAGTAGGGGACGGAGATATGTTTGGATTATTCCCTTGCCAGGTCGTAGCTGCATCTTCTCCTTCAGAAGTATGTATGTCTATACTCCGAAGGCTGGGTGGGAAATAAGAGTATTAGAATGCAGTGCTATGTGGAGGCTGAGTCTAAAGGCATTTGGTCTGGCGCATTTCCTTTCCTTTTAGGGGAATGATGGCTGATGGAGCTCGCCACTCCTTTGACAAAAAGGGGGTGATCGTGGTTGGAGTGGAGGACCGAGAGAAGAAAGCCGTGAACCTAGAGCGTGCCCTGGAGATGGCAATTGAAGCAGGAGCTGAAGATGTCAAGGAAACTGAAGACGAAGAGGAAAAGAACATTTTTAAAGTGAGTATGAAGACTTAGTGTTTGGTGGACTTCTGAGAGGGTCCTAATAGATGCGTTAAGGCACGCCTCTCTCGGTTTCTTCTTTTGTGCCCTGGGGTACAGGTGACATAAAGAGTTCACACATTGCACAAACATTTATTAAGTGAATACTGGAAAGGGCTTACTGAGGACTTTGAGAAGGATTCAGAACTCTGAAAACTATATCTCTGCTCGTAAAGAACTTAAATCTGGTGATTCATAATAGTAATTGCATTCAGGTTTTGCAGAGTTCTTTTTTTTTTTTTTCCAACGTTTATTTATTTTTGGGACAGAGAGAGACAGAGCATGAACGGGGGAGGGGCAGAGAGAGAGGGAGACACAGAATCGGAAACAGGCTCCAGGCTCCGAGCCATCAGCCCAGAGCCTGACGCGGGGCTCGAACTCACGGACCACGAGATCGTGACCTGGCTGAAGTCGGACGCTTAACCGACTGCGCCACCCAGGCGCCCCTATGGTTTTGCAGAGTTCTGACTGGCCTTACCCTGTTACCTCCTGACTCCTCACCAGACTTTCCTTTGTCCCTAGTTTATTTGTGATGCCTCTTCACTGCATCAAGTGAGGAAGAAGCTGGACTCGCTGGGCTTGTGTTCTGTGTCCTGTTCGCTAGAATTCATCCCCAACACAAAGGTTCGGCTCGCTGACCCCGACCTGGAGCAGGCTGCCCTTCTCATCCAGGCTCTTGGCAACCACGAGGATGTGATCCAGGTCTATGACAACATTGAGTAACCAGGCTGTATGTGCCCATGAGGTCCTTCCTAGGCAACTGGCAGCCCTTTCTGGAGCACAGGCTTTTGCAGCGTACTCTGAGACTGAAGCAGATTGGAGACCTAGCAGCTTAGGAGACACAAAACCAAGACCTGCAGCCCTTTGAGGCCAAGGGAATCACTACATCTCTGTGGGGCCTCTTTGTCAGTTCTGCTGATGTCTCATAGCCCTCCTGGATGCAGGGTGGAAACAGCCAGCTAATCAGACTCTGATCTCAGGGAAGGATAGGTGCCCTGAGGACCCATGTACTATAAACTACTTTTTTTTTTTTTTTTTAAGAGAGAGAGGGAGAATGCCTGAGCAAGGTAGAGGGGCAGAGGGAGAGAGAATCTCAAGCAGGCTCCACGCTCAGCATGGAGCCTGACACAGGGCTCAGTCCCACAAATGACCTGAGCCGAAATCAAGAGCCAGATAATCAACTGAGCCACCCAGGCACCTCGGAAGCTACTCTTAAATAAGGTGATTGAAAAAAAAAATAATAATAAGGTGATTGATGTGGGTTGCTGCACTGCTATTGTGTGGGTCTTCTGTTTTCCTGGGTTTTTGTCCAGCTGTTGGAACCCTCTTGACTTCCTTTGACATCTATGGGTTTAGTTCCACTACTCCAGAACTTTTTTTTTTTTAATTGACCAAAGAAATGTAGCTCTCTTTGGGTACTACTCTGTGCTCTAATGCTGGTTTAATGGCCTAAACCTGTCACTGATCATGCAAATAGTATTTGTCAAACACCTGTGTACCAAGACCTGTACTTACCAGGAGTACAGGCTATTTATTTGGTGCCCTGAGTTAGATCCTGCCCTAAGGCATAAGACCTCAGAGGTCAGACACAGGACTTCTGTCTGCTGGAGCTATCCTTGGGCAGTGTGAGCTGCTGTGCCTGCATCCTTGTTCTCTTCAGGTGGCCTCTGTGCCCTGCTTCTGCCAGAGAGCTTAAGGTTCTAACCCAGTAGGAAACCCAAGTGCCAATAATAAGGGACTCCCAGGCCCTGCTTTGCCCAGCCTTCCATGTGTTCTGAGATTGGTCAGAGTGGACCTGTGAGCAGATTGGACTGCTCTCAGGAAAGGCTATGCCATGCTGGTTTTGAAACTTGCTTGATCCCCAGAACACCCACCCTGGCTCCTTTTCATCCCTCCTGCTAAATGATGGGGCACTGGGAACTGGAGAGGAAATGAGAATAGAAGGAAGGGTGAAGGACTGAGTCAGAGCCTGACAGCTGGGGAATAGGGCCGTTTGTACCTTATGCTCTTCAGAGTCACTTTTGGGTTTAGAGAGACCAAGAGTGCCAATCACCTGTGCTGGAGCCCGTCAAGCATGTCAGGCCTGGAGTAGCTTTTTGATCCCTATTATTCACCTACTCAAGTTTTTTAAGCCAGTTCTGAACTCAGTAATTTTCCTGAAGGAGCCTCAGGGAAATGAGGAAAAGAAGAAAAACCAATTTGGCTATAAATAATAACTTCCTCCTTCTAGGAAAAGATTCCTAATTCCATCATGACTTCAGCAGTTGGAGAGCAAAGGCAAGGGGGAGGAAAACCAATGAATAAACCATGAAAATGCCAAAGCATATGCTCTTATACCTCATTTCATAATCATGATACTACCTGGAATTTTGTTTGTATAGGAGATAACTCATCCAAATATCTGATGAACACATCATTAAAATAGTGCAACTTAAAGTTGAAGTGCTGCTTTGTAATTTATGATTCTTTCATATGTTATTTATTTGATTTTCACAGAAAACGTATAAAATAATGAGGCCAAGTATTATGAACAAATGGTCTCATACCAAGTAGGTGAGAATAGGTCTAATACTACATTTTCTATTGATAGACCTTGGTTTGTAAAATAGCTCTGTTTTGTAAACTTTGAATATAATTATAATTTGGAGGAATGTGATAATTTCTGATATGAGACATCTGCACCAGGAAAGCCATCTCTGGAAGGGAACTTGGCTACTCATGTGAACATTCCTCTAATATAGGTAGGATTTGTTAATTTTTGTGTAACCAATTTTCTTCCAGCAAGGCATACTAGATGGCTCTGCACTGACCCCTGGTGGTGCCCCACAGTCTTTCCTGAGGTTAATATGGAAGAGGCAGAAATGAAACCTTATTTGGACCTGTTCTGCTTCTAAGTCTGCTAGAGCGCTTTAGCTACATAGGTTAAGTAGTTAAATAACTATTTAACTGAATAGTTAATTAGAGAGGGTAGGAGTTATTCTTCTACTAAAACTTATTTTTCAAAGAATATTTTAGGTCAGAAAATGTTTACAATATAATGTTAAGTGGAAAACAAAGATGTGAAAAACTGTATAGTATGGTCCAAATTTTAAAATCTAGTCATATCTATGTATGAACTTAAAAAAAAAACAGAAGGAAGTGTATCAAAATCTCAAAACTGGTTATCTCTGAATGGTGATGTTATCACTGAGTTTTATTTTCTATAATCATATATTTTACCAGGGGAAACATTTTTTCAAAAGAAAACTCATCACATTATTGTCCAACTAGGGAGACCACATGTGAGAGGCCAGGAGTCAGGCATACCTTAAAGTCAGAAGAATGAGGTCTGGTCCTGGCTTGCCTTTACCTTGTCTTTGGTCATTGTCTTAGCAACACAAAATCATTCAATACCTTGCAGCTGGCTTGGGCTCACTTTCAAGTGACCTTTTAGTGGGATGGGAGTATTGGTGACCAGTTCTGTCCATAACCTTGACTCTTAAAAGAAGTGTTCATGTGCTTTGTAGCTGCCTTCACTCTGCCAGAGGCCCCAGCTGAATCAAATAGGAACCATGAAGGCTTTGCCTCCAGCCAACAATAGAAAAACCATGAGTTATTGAGTTATTTTTTTGTCTTTTTTTTATTCTCTGAAACTTATAGTACAACAGTGAGTATGACTTCACACTGGAAGAAATCGCAACTTGTAGACTTTTACAAGTCCCCCTGGACTCCTCTAGAGATGTTCTGAGGAGGAAATAAATGAGCCAGTAGGTCTGACAAAAGAGAATGTTATGATAAATGCTATATTAGTCTTGACTGAAATGGCTTTCTCTCCTGATGCTACCCCCGGACACTGAACAGGATAGTAGTTTCTACTTTTTCCTCTTTTTATCTTTCTTTTGACTATGCCAAAAAGGTAACATTGGGTTTTTTTGAATGAGTAAGTGAACCTCAAATGGGGGACTTCCCTACCCCCTTACTTGTAAGATACAACCAACATTAACAATCTACTCTTTATTATTCTACTCATTGGAACTGATCTGCTGGGGAATAAATTTTAACTCTTCCATTTGCCAGCAACCTTGGACAAGAACTTCACCTCTTTGTACCTGTTTCTTCATGTATAAAATATGGATAATAGTATCTATCTCTTAGGGCTATTTTGAGAATTAAGTAAGTTAATATATGTTAAGCACTTAAGACAGTGCCTGGCAATAGTAAGTGCTCAATAAATGTTGCCCCCCCCACACTAAATATGAATGAACATTTTTTTAAAGCTGAAATGTGATTGCCCTCTACATTTCAGCCTTATAAACTATTTTTGTTTTTGTTTTTGTTTTTCACTTCACAATATATCCTGGATGTTGCAATCAACATTACTTACTTTTGCTCATTTGCAAAATGTTCCTTTGGATAAATTTATAGAAATGGAATTTCAAAATAGAAAAGCAGTTTTTCTCTATAAGTTAATGTCAATAATAAATAAAATATCATGGTTGTAAAAATCTTCTATGAGGTATACATCAATCCTTAACAATGCAGATAAAGTGTTTGAACTGGTAACCTGAATATATTCTACTTTACCTCTGAATTAAAAGAATTTTCAGAAAATCAGGTGGTAGTTTTGTTTTTTTTTATACCAAATTCATCGAACTATCCCAAAGAGCATTCATTTGTGTTTATTGTTCCCTATCTTGTGTTCAAGTGTCCCTCTGCTCTTGAAAGAAAAAAAAGGAAAGTAGTAATGCAGCTTGTATATGACAGGGCTGCCTGAGGCCCTGAGCTCTAGGGGCAGGTCGTGATCCTTGAAGTCAGGTATGGTTCAGGTATTTAATCAGGGGCATCTACTCAGTGTAAAACCAGGGTAACAGGCTTGAGGAGATATGACACAGATGGGAGGCTTCACATGGGGAAAATGAGTGAGGAGAGAATATAGAAAGAAAAGATACATAACATACTTGTGGAGGCTACAACTACTGACCTCCCCATTTAAGGTTCACTTACTCATTCAAAAAAATATGTTTTTTTTTAATGCACTATGAAAGATGCTAGGCATACCAATTTGAATGACAGCTTCTGTCTCTGTGCCTACTTCCTTTAGAGCCAATTACAACAGAGTGGGACAGGTGCTTTGATGAAGAAAGTACTAGGTGCTCTGGTACCCAGAATTGTATTTGTCTGGAAGGGCTTTCTGGAGGGAGTGATGTTCAGGCTTAGTTCTTTCCTGGAAGAATGAGGATGAAGGCAAAAGTGGAGGAGAAGAGTGTTCAAAACAAAATAGCACATGCAGAGGAAAAGAGGCAAAACAAACTGCCAGTGGTCAGTGTGGCCAGAACATATGATGAGGTTGGCAGAGGTAGGAAATGGGAAAACTTGTGGCTGGAGAGGCATAGCCTGGGTCCTGAAGGGCCTTCTTAACTACCTTCATATATTCGACTTATCCTAAGGGCAATAGGAAAAAACTTAAAATTTTTAAGCAGAGTGTGACAAGATCAGGTGTCCATTTTAAAAAGATCACCCTTTGACATAAGTAGATACTGTTACATTAGGTTTCAATTGGGATGGTGGAGCTGAGGATGGGAGAGGAGTGGACAGATTGGTAACATGGTCAAGATTAGCTGAAGGGGGGAAGGAAATGGTGAGGAAGAGTTCTCCAAGGTAGAGAACTCAACTTGGAGTTGAGAACCCAACTTGGGAAACTGAAGATGGCAGAAGAAATATAGAACTATAGAGGAAAATAATGAACTCAGTTTGAACCTGTAGAATTTGAGGTGCCTTTGAGAGGCTAATGGATGATGTTTGGGAGCTCAGAAGAAAGTCTGATATGGTAACTTCAGCGTGGGAATGTTTGAGATGGCTGGTTAAGGTACAGACAATGGAAAATAAGCCCTCAAAGAAAGCTCTTGCTAGAAAGAAAGACAATCAGAAGGCTCTTTTTTTCAGCCAAGCACTTATGTGGTTGTACTGTAGTTCTCTACCATGTGCAAGGCAGTATTCTAAGTGCTGGTGATGGGGCAGTGAACAGGACAAAATCTGTGCTCCTACGTAGCTTATGTTCATTGTAATTAAAGGAAAGACAAGTAAATGTAATTTTTAAAAAGGTGCTTATTTATTTTGAGAGAGAGTGTGCTTGCACACGCAAGTTGGGGAGGGGCAGAGAGAGGGAGAGAGAGAGAGCTCTGTTGGCACAGAGCTTGACACGGGGCTCGATCCCATGAACCGTGAGATTGCAACCTGAGCTGAAACTGAGAGCCCAACGCTTAACTCACTGAGCCACCCAGGCACCCTGTAAATACGTACTTTTAGACATAGACACTGAAGAAAAATAAGGCAAAATATGGGGATAAAGAATGATGGAGAGGAGAGAGGCTCTTTTTGAATGGGGTGGTTAGAAACTCAGAAGAGTTGACAGTTTGAGTGAAGACCTGAATAAAATGTAGGAATTAGCCATGGGAACACCTTGTGGGGGAGGGGGGATGGATGGCGGAGAGCATTCCAGGTAGAGATAGCAAGTGCAAAGTTCCTGAACTTGACAGGTTCAAAATAGGGTAAGAAGGCCAGTGTGGCTAGGAGAGAGGTCATGGGAGAGAAGTAGAGATGAGGCAAGAGAGGATGGCAGGGCCAGCTCCTACTAAGCCTGAAAGGCCATGGCAAAGAGTTTGGGTTTTATTATAAGTGTGATGGAAAGCCATTGGAGGGTTAACAGCAGGGCAATGACACGATCTGAATTACATTTTACAAGTATTGCTCTGCTGTGTGGAGAATCATTTTTTGGGTGGCCACAGAGGAAACAGGTGATGGGTTAGGAGGCTAAGGCAGTCATCCAACAGAGGGTGGCGGCGGCTTGGACCAAGGCTGTAGTGGTGAGAAGTGGATTGGATTCAGATGCATTTTGAAACAATAGGTGAGAAACTTGCTGAAGGATTAGATGTAGGGGTAGGGAAAGAGTAAAACCAAGGAAGACTCCTCCTAGGTTTGTATTTTCACAATTGGGAAAACAGAGGAGAGGGGGTGTTTGGTGGGGAGGGGGAAAGGATAAAGAGTTTGGTGTGAAACTTGTGAAATTGGAGATGTGTTTTAGACTTTCCAAGAGAAGCTGCTGAATAAACCTGCCAACACAGGCAATAGAGTACTAACCAGATTTCCACTCGCATGGTTGTCTTTTTTTTTTTTTTTTTTTTAATCTCACAGGTCAGTACAATTAAGGGTCAGATATGAGCCTCAGACCGGTATATTGGGACCTCTAGCACTGGCTTATTACACACATTCTCAACAGGGTGGTACTCCAGTGAGGTAAAAAATGATTCGTAAGGGATGAGAAAAACCTTAGATAATACAATGGTATGTGGCCTTCAAATCTCAACCCTACTTGACAAAATCTTATTCCTTAGTATTTAATTTCTCCCATTAGAATTTACATTTAATTAGGGTTGCCTGGGTGGTTCAGTCAGTTGGGTGTTCGACTTTGGCTCAGGTCATGGTCTCATGGTTTGGGAGTTGGAGCCCTGTGTCAGGCTCTGTGCTGACAGCTCGGAACCTGGAGCCTGCTTCGGATTCTGTGTCTCCCACTCTCTCTGACCCTCCCCCGTTCATGCTCTGTCTCTGTCTCAAAAATAAATAAACGTTAAAAAAAATTGCATTTAATTAATTCAAAATTTTCTCCTTGAGAGGTGATCATGAAAAAGCAGTTGAGAAATCACTGGCCTGGCTTAGTAGAAGAACATGACCTCTGGGTGGCAGACAGACTGGGTATGAATTCTGGCTCTCCTACCCAGACATGGTACTTAAACTTCTCTGAGCTTCACTTTCATCATTTAAATGCCAATAGTATTGTTTACCTCAGAGTTATGGGAAAGATAAAATGAGACGACGTGCCTGGCATATAATAGATGACATAATTATAAATTTTCTTTCCCCTTTGCTCTTTCTCCCCTCCCTAGGAAAGAGATTATTATAGTTAAGGAAGTACAATAAACTGAATAGGGATCTAATCAAGAAGAATGACAGACTTAAAAACTCGTTGGAGAAAAAGAAACCGCTTGGACAAGGGGCCTGATTAAATATTGTGGGGAGGAGGGAGTGTAAAGAGAGGAGTCTAAGGTAGTTCTTGAACGATTTGACACCCAAAGCAAAGCCACCACTAAAGGTTCTTAGCTGACGGTTGAAAGTGGCATCAGGGGAAGATTATTCTGGAGTCTGATTTATATTCCACTGGAACAGGGACTAGAGGAAGGGAGCGCATATTAATTGTGATGGACTTGGCATCTAAAGATGTGGGTGTAGAAAATGTTGAACAATGGGGGTTGGGGAAATTAATTACGGTCATTCTCTATTTTTGAAATATCATGCAGCCAGTACAATTGTTTTGGAACAATATTTCAGTGGCACGGGAAAACACTTTTAATAAAATGTAAGCATACTACCAAACAGTATGAAGCCGTTTTTGTCAAACGTTGTATACCTTGGTAGGAAAGAGATCAAACTATCTCTGGGGTGCAATTTTTTCTTTCAATTTTAATTCAAAGAGCTTGTATTGCTTTCATAACCAAAGAAAAAACTCTTATCCGAAAGAACCTCTCTGACTTTGCCACTTACTGCTTTCTACCCTTGGCCAGCAGCGGAACTCCCAGGCTCCTGAGGACCCACATTCCAGTACTATCCCAGCCCCTCGGAGGGTGTGGCCCCGGAGGTAGGAGACCCGGGAAAAGGCGGGCAACGGTGAGGCCGCCCCCGCCTCCGGGCAAGCGCAACGTCTGGACCAGAGGAGTTGTCAGGGGGTCGGGCAGCAAAGGTGGCCACACGCCGGGAAGCGCTCAGAGCCAGAACTCTCCCCGCTTATTACGCGCCCGGTGTGGGCACTGGGAGGGGCAGGACGCTGGCCTCAGGGCCCGCCTGGACTGCCGAGAGCTGAGAGGGCGGGAGGCCGAGGGCCCCTCCAGCCGTTTTCCCAAACTCCAGCCCCAAAGTAGCCGGAGGGGAACACCGCCAGCCCGCGCGCCAGCCGAGCCTTCAGTGACTGACGGGAGGTGGGAATGTGGGCGGAGCCTCACGCGCGAGCTGTGATTGGAGCAACAAACACCTCCCGGGGAGAGAGGGAGGCTGAGACGGCAAGGATGCGCAGAGGCGGGTGCTCAGAGCCCTCTACGTGATTGGCTAGAAGAGAGGGAACCGGGTGCTGTTTCGATGATTGGCAGGCGGTAGACAGCCTTCGGAAACGGCCTTGGCTTCGCCCATTGGCATACTGAGAGAGTGGGCGGGATTGGTTCATGGTGTGGTGCTGATGATTAGCTGGCGGCTGAGAGTTAGGGTGTTGGGGAGAGAGTGGGGTTGGGGGGCTACTGGGGCAGCGACTTCTTCCCTCTTATTGGCTAGCGAAGTGAGCGGGGGTGGTACGAAGGTCCAGCGACTGCCTGGGATTGGCGGGCGCTGCAGTGAGTGACAGACAAGGGGGCGAGCTGCGCGACCAGCGGTTTGTTTTTCGGAGCGTTCCTGAGGTGGAGAACGGTGGCCGGACGGAGCGACTGCGGGACTGAGAGACGGGCGGGCGGGCGGGCCGAGCGGCGCCGCCGAGGCCGGGCTGGGCCGAGCCGAGGAGCGCCGGGGATGTAGCGGGC